CCTTTTCCTTTTCTTTATTTTTCTTATCTAGTATCATTTTGGGCCACGCTAACTTTTTTTAAATAAGGTTTTGGTACTTGTCGGCTTTTTTTCCTATTTCTTTTTCAAGATCCTTGTTGTCTTACATACCAATACTACAGCGATAACTATCAAAGTGGAGGAGCTGCGGAAGGTCACCGATTGCAACAACACCCATACAAAAGGTGTATTTTAAGACAAGGGACTTGGGTACATCAGACTGCCTTCTTAAGAACAAACCTAAAGTCTTCGGACTTTCTCAACTCCCAAATTTAGCTACCGCAGATCATTACGTGACTTAAACGACTTAAACTACGAGTACACCTCCCCAGTCTCGTAAAGTGAAAGTTAGAGACCTAGGTGCATGGCGCACGTTGGGCTGTGGCTTACAATGAAAGACTGGTAGCAGGTTCCCAATACTATTTCAAGTTGGTAAACTTCTACAAGTTTATTACGGACCTTTAGGGCGCAGATGACACTTTTCTGCCATTTCCATCTACATCTTGTACACCCAACTGACAGACCTTGGACTACAGAAAAAAATTCAAAATGCTTATCAAGAGACCTTCCAATTTGGTTTTAGTACATGTTTTGGCACATGTTGAGCGACAGTTGCATACAAATTTATTCTACAGATTTCTAACGACGTCTCCCTTTTTCTCCCCTTTAATATAGCTGGAGTTTTGAAAAGTAGGTCAACAATTTGAATCAACTCTTTTCCGCCCCCATTTTCTACCCTTACGATCCCATTTACGGAGGAAAAAATCTCACCAAACTCTTCGATTTATGTAAGCACCAGCCTCCTGATTTGAAGGACCGAACAGACCATGGACTAAATTTATCTTCAGCATTTCAAAGATACACACCAGTGAATGCTGCAAGTGAGGTCATCGAGGTAGCGGGTTCGAATCACGCCATAAGAGTTTTTCTTAGGGCCGAATAACCTCTCCTCGAGTATGATTTGGAGCTGGCAGATAAGGGGTGACTCTCAACCTTTCAGACTGGTTTCTTGCCAACAAACCTTAAGTTTTCGAACTTTCGTTTCGGCGTCGGCTAACAATAAAAGTGGTCAGAGGTCCTCAAAACTATTTCACGTCGGCAAAAATTCTAGAAGTTTATTACAGAACTTCAGGACACAGTTGACACCTCTCTGCCATTTAAATCTATCCTCGTACACCTAACTGACAGACCTTGGACCGCAAAATAAAGTATCAAATGCTTATCAAGACACCTTCCAATGTGGTTTTGGTCCATTTTTTGGCACATGTTGAGCGACAGTTGCATAGAAATTTATTTCAAAGGTTTCAAACGACTGCTCCCTTTTTCGCCCGTTGAATATAGCTGGAGTTTTGAAAAGTAGGTCAGCAATTTCAACCAACTCATCATTTAATCATTTTTTTAACCGTTTGTTTTTTTGTTTTCTTTGATTTTTTTTTAATTTTTGGTATCCGACTTGTGCACGTTGAGCGACAATTTTATAGAAAATTAATGCAAGGTAGTTTCAAATCGTCGCCTAAAAGTAGTTGAACTTGAACAATAGGCGTTAGTGTCAAAATATTTCTATCCACGTCTCTTTTTTTCCCCCATTGAATATTCTAAAAAGTAGGTCAGAAATTTGACTCAACTCCTTTTAATATTTTCCCCTTTACGATCCCATTTATTTGGGAAAAAATCCCACCAATCTCTCCGATAGATGTAAGCAGCACCCTCCTGTTTTGAAGGAACAAACAGACCGTGGACTAAATTAACATCTTCTGTATTTAGATGCAGTGCTTGAAAGAGAGAACTCCTACTACTCGCTGTAAAATTCGAGTAAAACCCTTGCCAAATTAATACATGGAATATAGTTAAGCCTAAAAACGGGGGGTTCAAGAAAATTTATTTGCCATCTTTTCACCTTTTTACAACTCCTCAGCACTGGTTGTCGAGGAGTTTAGTACTCAGGCATTCCGCGGGAGGTCTGGGTTGAAATTTGGGCTTTGTTATGTTGTATTCAGTCACAAATTGCCGTCCAGGATCCTAAGCGCATGCGGAGGCCAAGTCTGGTCTACGCATGCGTAGCATAAGACATTAAAAAAAGAAATCATAGCCGTCTGTCGAGGGCGACAATGGCTGTTTCATTCAGGTCTGGTCGGATTCCTCAACGCAGCTCTGTCCTTCGTTGTCCATCCGCTGCCACGAACTCCTTTCTGTATCCAACTTCCTCAGGTTTCTTTTTACAGTGTCTTTGAATCTCAGCCTTCGTATACTCTGATTGCATTTGCCCTCGCATAACTGTGAATAGAGCAAAGGGGTAAGTTTCTAAAGAAACTGTGGTGCTGCGTCGGTGGGAGAGTATAGCAGGTAATTTAGTGTTAACAACTGGGTTGTAAACGTAAATTAGCCACCTTAAAGGTTAAAAAAGCTGACATTTCGAGCGTTAGCCCTTCGTTTAATCGCTCTGACGAAGGGCTAACGCTCGAAACGTCAGCTTTTTTACCCTTTACGGTGGCTAATTTACGTTTTCAACCCAGTTGTTAACACTAAATTACCTGTGAATAGAGCAGCTGCTTGGGGAGACGCTGGTGATACATCCTCTGAGCATGACCGAGCCACCTCAGGTTCATCTGTATTAGGATGATCTCCATTGATGGTAGACCAGGTCGATCCAGCACTTCTATGTTGGTTATCTTGTCTTCCCATGAGATGTTCATGATGGTTCGTAGCTGTCTCATCATTTATGCGTGAAGTTTCTGAACCTGCGCCTTGTGGACAGTCCAAGTCTCAGCACCGTACAATAGAGTAGCCTGTACTATCGCTCTGTACACTTTGCATTTCACACAACAAGCCACATAAGACAGACAGCATAAGATAGATAAAGTAAAAGTCATAGATACGTCCACAAAAGTATAAATGCGTGGTTCCTGGCGCGTAAAATTGTCCCAATTCAATGCACGCACTTGATATAGGGCATTTTATCAGAGAAGTACCCAAATTGTAGTTATTGACGAGCCCCAGCAAATACTGCCATCCGCTAAACATAATACACCGTGAAAAGTCTGTCCATATGGTATTTACGCACCCGTTGGTTTGTATCAGAAATCTCACTCATTTTATTTCCGATACTATTATCTCGCGCTTAAATACCAAACGGGCAGACTTCCCCTGAAGTATTCTATAAATCAGAAAGGAACAAAACCGCGCGATACTATGACTCAATTGGTCGACTTATGCGCTGATTCCAAGATTAGAAAGGCTGCTATGGCTACGGGTGATAGCAGAATTATCGGCCTTTCCTATCGTGATTTGGTAGCAGCTGAAGCATGATACCACGGCCAGGGGTTTATGACAAGTCGCTACTGCGATTTGTAAAGCACTGTGATATACGTTATTATTAGGGTATTCGCTTTGAAGAAAAAAAGAAGGCTCAAACCACAAAACGAAGACCTTTGCCAAAACCCTTTTCATGCCACTAAATTTATGATATAGCTCACTATTCTTGGTATTATAAACGTCCACGACACGTTTTGACATGAAGTATCTATCTATGGATTTTGGCGCCTAGCAAAGCGTTTAGACGAAGGTCTTCGTTTTGTAGTTTTATCTCAGCTCATTTATTCTATAAAACGATGATCCTATCAATAAAGTGTATTCTAACGCCTACCAAAGCTTAACAAAGCTCCGACACCTTTCCAAATCGTACGAAAAATAAATTTTTACGGTGACCCTAAAACAACTGCTCAGTAAAAGAGATAAGAGTAAAAAAATAGAAAAGACAGCAAAATCAAAATGCGAATTTCACGGGGAGGAGTTACTCGGCCCCCAAGCCAGTTTGAGAG